CGTAAACTAGGACAGTATATATAGTAGCATAATATTATATTAGTTAGCATTTTATACGTGGTAGAGCCATGCTGCATCTATATTAGTAGTATAATTGTAGCACGAATAGCTCGGCTCGACCGGGGAAGGACCACGCTCTCACAGAATACCAGCGTAAAATAGCAGGTTAACACTGCTGTGTTTCGTATGGTGAGTGTAGATAACCGGAGACCCTTTTTACTGGAAAAGAGGCATTCTGTATTAGTCCTCACGGGTGACAACGCATTTTGAGTCTTTATTGAGGATAGATGTAAATGTCTATGGGTCACAGTAACCACTTACCATCAGGTGGACTGTGTGCTCGTTTGTCACCATATCCTATAAAAAAAATTATTTTGATTTAAGATTGTCCTCTAGGACCATTTATTTATCCATTTTTAGATTTTTCGAAATTAAAAATTCTCGTAGTTTTTAGGGTAGAATGTAGCCTAGATTACTTCTGGCATTGCTCTCTATCTGTTTGTTAACTTTTAATACTATCCGTTCAGCCATTCCGAAGCTTAGCCCGGACAGACAGACAGACAGACAATTCTTTTAAAAATGTGTACTTATGTCCTAAATCGCATGCAAATAACTTCCTCAGCTCAATAAAAGGGAGATATATCGATATTACAAACATTACAATACATTACAATTTAATTAATATATGTAGATTTTTATATGTTTATATTGTGCTTTATTCGATAAATAACTTTTATGTCTGATGATTGAAAATTCAGCCCTGTGTAAAGTATGTGCTTAAATATCTGATAGAGACATACTTAATATACAAACATAATAATACGTCGGTAGTGAACATGAAATTAGAAAGTACAATAATATGAACGAAAACGTATCAAGTTCGGTTTCCTTGATAGATGGACGATGATCGATTTGCTTTAATTAATTACTTTATTATTAAAATTATAAAAGTTTTTTTTAAATAATCTTTTAATAAAAAAATAAAACATTGGTTATAGAGTTAACCAGCCTTGCACGGTGGGTGATGCAACACAAAAATAATTATGAATAAGATTATTATTTATTCACTCATTCATTGGTTACAGCTTATCGAAAGTTCACTGCTGAAAATATACCACAGTTGCCAGGCTTGGCAGGCAGTTTGGCAACCGCAGTTTTTATAAGTTGTTGTCAGGAAGATGTTGCTGCGTGTCTCCCGTCTCATTTCCCTCTGTCGCCTCTTACGACATCCACAGTATATATTATTCTCATACGACGTCACGACATGGCGTTATTATATCTATATAGGTGATTATAATACATATTTAATTTTGTTAACAAAATTTCGGTACGGCATCATCAAAGTTAGGTTCGCGTTGTGGACGTATAAGATTTGAGAAAATTTTGACTGTGCAGTGAATATCCACTACCTCATATCGTCCCGTGGGTGTCGTTAGACGTGACAGAGGGAAATCAACCAGGAGATGGGCAGCAGCGTCTTCCTATTAACAGCTAAAAATAAAAACGGCGGTCGGCAAACGCGTACTTAACTAAAGTTGAGGTTGCAATTAATGAATATCAAAATTTGATTAGATCTTTTATCTATATTATTGTAGAATTACTTTTACTTATAGGAACTTCTAATAGGACTAGATGTACTATTATGTGTTAACATATTAATTCAGTTTTTCTTTGTATTTATAGAAAGAAATATGACATGCATAAGTATTAATGTGCATATAATTCAAATTCACCTGTCATTTATTTAATTTAGCCACGTAGATAATGTAAATTACGATAGTTATGCAATACCTACTTATTTTTTCCAGAATAAAGCAAAATAATAAACTGTTTAAGTTATTTTTTTCCGCTCCTACCTCTAACACACGCACGCATACACGTACGCACGCACGCATACATGCACGCACGCATGCACTCACGCATGTACGCACGCACACACACAAACACACACACACACAATCTAGTAGTTACTGCTATTTTGTAAGAGCGTTCTGCATACATAAATTTTACGTGGATAAATACTTGGCGGGGTATGAATTCGTAGCCCGCAGCACTGCAGTGAAGCATTTAGCCACTGTGTTATTGTGTCTGAGAAGTGATTTTTATTAACACGCTTTTATTAGCTTCGCGTGTGTCTATCTATATAATATTTATCTATCTATGTAACGGAATCTTTTAAAATAATTTTTACCAACTTGTATACGGGTATACGGCCGATTGACTTGAAAAAGGACCGATAACAATAGAATAATTGAATAACTTTGTCCTAGTACCCTGATCAAAATCACAAGGATAAAATAAAATTATTGTCACGATTTGTAAGTTTTAGAATTGCAATCGAACGGGATAATAGAAAGGTGTAAATCACAATAGATATATTACAGCTTCGAATCGCATTGTGGCAATTGTATACGTAAATTGTGTGTATGTGTAACTTGTAGATATCAATTTTCAATCCGTTGTTAGTAATTGTATACAATATGTAACAAAAACCCTGTATCCTGTTAAGTGTGTTATCAGAATCAGTATTCAAACGTATAGAAATAACTTTACTTCAGAAAACACGACCATAAAAAATTTTATCAAATGAAATGAAATTTGTATTTGCAAATTGTATGTCTGACTGACACGCGTATCTGAAAAGTCCTCCCGTCTTTGACACTACTCTTACTACCCGGCCAAAGCAGAGATAACGAATTGGTGGACTGCAGCGGGAGGGTTCCTTCTCGCCTATCTCACACTGCCCGTTGCATGCAGACAAAGTGGTCGCGGAGAAAGAGATGTGTTGTAGAAAATATTCACGCGCCCTCTCCTCTGCCATGGGGTTTTAGTAAGTACTTGTTCTACATAACCTATTCTTGCACTCGACAGGAGGGTATGCGAAAGCATTTCCCATGAAAAAATATGTGTCTCACCTTTTTACCTATTTTGCCGCGAAATAGCTGTGTGCAGTACTATGTTACGCTTAGCATATATACAGGGTTATTTTGCAAAGAGTAGCGAAATTTTAAACTTGAGTTCAAATATACAAATAATATCATTATTTGTATATTTGAACTCAAGTTTAAAATTTCGCTACTTTTATGAATATCTACAGTTATGAAAGTTTTTAAAAATACGAGTAAATAAGGCTTCTACTTTTATTTAAAATTATCCCAAATTGTGCTATTCAATTCACAATGTGTTTGCTGACCGATCAACCCTTAGGAATGTGTGCGTGCGTAGTAAAATAGTAGGCGGTAGATATTTATGAATTTAAAAGATAAAAAGGACAGAATGTTTGAGATTTTTCAGTTACTTTTTCTTCACTATTTGTCTATGTTACTTATTCTGAACCTTCTCTGCAAATTTGTCCGGTCATTGCAAAATAATCCTGTATAATATAGTCCTCCGGAGTGAGGTGTCAGTGGCCTATTTTGTTTAAAGTTATTTATAGGTATCCACGGGCAGCAATGGCGACTTGCTATTAGGTAAACCGTTTGATATTTTGGTATTCTAACATTATAAAAAGTAACAGTCGTCTATCTGTGTAACAAGTGTCTGACATTGGGAAAGAAGGTTTTCTTTTTTTAATCGATTACTGCTTACATAACATTTTATCTTTTAGCTCAACTGATAACTATGCTGAATGGAAATAATGTTGTTCTGTACGAAGGTTACACGTTTTATAAGAAATACAAGTCAAAGATGTATAATAAATGGAATTGCACCAGCTATGCCCAGTGCAAAGCATTTCTCAACATCGACGACAATATGGTGATACGTGGAGGCGATGTGGCGCATAACCATGAGAAAAGAAAAATCGTTCGCACTAGTAATGGGAAATATATAAAATGTTAAAAAGTTATCTTTTAATATTAATCTAATTTACTACCTAAAAGTTTAAAAATGGTTATATTTTTAAACTTTTTGTCTGTACATTTTCAATGTCAAATGTAAACAACCTTCTGAGCTTAAAAGAAGACAGTTATTTCTATATTACAGACAGGCACTTCCATTATATTAATTATATTGTATGGATTATATAGATCTACCTAAGGGAAATTATACCCAATTTCTCTACAAATACCAACTTCAGCTGCACGGGATGCATGCTGATTGACGAACGAGACGCTAGCAACTGACTTACGTTAAAAAAAAACCACATAACCTCTTGAAACAATTTTTACGGTCTAGTGATAAGAAGTCATAAGGATGTGTCTTTTTTATATAGGAGGGGACAAACGAGCATCTGGCTCAACTGGTGGTAAGTGACTGCCGCCGCCCATGAACAACTGCAACACCAGGGGAATTACAATTGCAAATCGTGAAACCGTGTAGTGGCGGTTTAAGAATATCCATTACCCCATGTCGTCCCGTGGGTGTCGTAAAAGGTGACAAAGGGGAAACTTCAACAGGAGATGGGCAGCAGCATCTTCCTTACATTAACACAAAATCATAAAACTGCGGTTGCCTACACGCCTGCCGAGTGTGGCAACTATGGCAAAACGAGACAATCTATAGAGCAGGCCTATGTTCAGCAGCGGACTTTAATAGGCTGTAATCATCGATCTCTAATAAAAAAAAAACTAGATAGATACACAATCCCATGCAAAAGCTTTCTAAAAACTGTCGCCAATTTTTTGACGTAATGCTAGTTGGAATAAATATACATTAATGTATATTCAACCTTAAATACATTGCTTAAAGTTGTATTCACAAAGCTATGAACTATCTATATTAGTTGCCGTGATTTACGTGATTTCCAAGGCACGGGAATAAAACACCGCCAATTTCCTGACTCCGGGCTGCAACAGAGCATTTCTCGATAGCAAAGCTCAATAAGTGATTTTGTCTCGACCCGGAATTCGAAATTCAGTCTTATATACTAACTCCTTCACGGTGACAATATATTTTATTGATTTTCGTTTGATTTCAGTGTCGATTATCACGATGTGTAACGGCAAACGTCGAGCTTTCCTCGACGGGTATTTGTACTACAGCAAGAACAAAAGTATGCGTTGGGATTGCGTCTCCTATCCAAGATGCAAAGCTTTCATAGTCCTTCACGACGATACAGTTGTAGCCAGCTGTGCTACACACAGTCATACACAGCGTCGTCTGCTTAAATCTAATGATGGCACATACTTGACCATCCATTAAACGAGATCCTACGTAAATGACATTCTTGTTTCTTTTATGTACCAAAGAATCAAAAGCATTCATTCGCATATCGTTAAAATAATAATTTAAATTAAAAAATTAAACAAACCCCAAAACAAAAAGAGCTGATGATCTTCAAACGGCTGAACAGATTTTCTAGAAACATAACTAAGAACACACCTTTCAATCGAAAAAAAAAACTTGAAATCGGTTCAACCGTTCAGGAGTTATGACGTCACAGACGGACACACAGATACACACCACAAACTTTTAACACTCTACTGCTTTCGTCGGGGGTTAATGAAGTTGCTTAAACTTGAGCTATGTTTTTTTTATAAAACTGAAGTGACAAACGAACTTACAGTTGACGTGATGGTAGGTCGCTACTGCCACCTGCAACCAACTTCAAAGAAGTGCTACAGTTTCGTTGCCACCCCTAAGTACTATAGACGGATGGCATGTCTTTGCCTGTATTTGTACTGACTCTTCATAGGTAATATATCTACCCAGACCTAGGTACAAAAGTAGTCCTACCAACTAGAATTCATGTGTATTTTTTTGTAACATCGTGTTTTAGCAATTTTTTCTAAAAACGTATTTTAGCATAAATATTTTTGTGATATTTTCTTCTTTTATTTATAATATTTCCTTTAAATTACATCTCATGTTGTGACTTACTTCGTCGTAATGAGGGCTAATAACCACCAGATGTCGCTAGTTGACACTGAGGTAAAGTTTTTTGTTACACAATGTAATTTAATTGAGAAGTTGTTTATTAATAAAAGTTTATCATTTTCTAGAGTATTATATAAATACACAAAACAATGCGTCCAGTGCTTTGCTCTTAAATTTTTTGCACGTTTTTCAACTTTTGTTTTAATTTTTCTTGACTTTTATGAATATCTGTGGTTTGGTTTATTTATTTTTAATGTTATTAATATAAAATATAACTAATATGGCAAAAAGAAACAATAACTTTTACATTTTCCGAACAAATTAACTTCCCCGCTATGAAATCTGTCAAAAATATTATATCTCACTTTCTAGTGGCGCCGCCCTGGTGGCAGAAAAAGTCGTGGATGCCCTCATTAAAAAGTAGTTTGTAATTAGTCTCCGGTTTAAACTATAATATATTTCGCAAGAGATGTAACATGGCAGTATGTTGACAAAATGTAATGTATGGAATTTGATGGCAAACTTCAACGTGAAAAATATGACCAAATTCACTACGTTGGCTCGGTTTGTAGAGCGCAAAATCTCGCACTAGCCATTTGTAAAGTACAATTGCCCATTGTAAAGATTTGTAAGAGTTGCAATGCGTGCAAGTCAATCTGTTATTCGGTAGTTTACTGTATCTTTCTTTCATCCTGTCCGATAGTTATAAACATTTTTTATGATATATGTTTTTCTTTTATTGTAGTTTTTAGTTAGTATTATTTTTTTAATATTTTGTCCTAAAATACTCGAAGACTCAAGCAGTAGGTATTTATTCAAAAAATATTAGATGCTGAAACGTCCCCAACTTTCGTAAATGTTTAATAAATTATTCTGCTGAAATTGAATGTCTGTGACGATGTTAGGAGTTTTTTAAATGATATAACTGTCTCAATGGTGAATATATTTTTGAATTAAAGCTGGGTCAATGGCAGCACGATTTTCCGTACGCCAGATTGGTATGGCAAACGAGAAATAATCCCATTAGATCCGCTCGTAGAACACCCAACCAAACCCTCGCACCTGACCAAAAACCTACCACTTATAACGCTTATGTTCTTAAAAGCCGCGTCTCCACCAAAGTTTTGTTGCCAACACAAAAGTTGTTGCAAAACTTGTTTCCATTTTCGGCGGCAACATCAAAGGACTACGCTTGTTGCCAACATTTGTTCCCTCGGTGGAGACGCTTGTTGGAAACAGTTGTAACCAGTTGGAAACATAACTGTTGTCAACATTTTTGGAGTATACGCGGCGCGTCACAGGCCGCACGCCGTACGCCGCCTATTACATAAATAATCTATTTACAAATACTCTATAATTTATACCTATAAACTACCGTCACTGTTATAGGTCTATTAAAGTCTTCTGCTGAACATAGGCTTACATCGCCGCTACACGGTAAATTTATATCATATACTGTTTTTTTTATAGGATAGGGTGACAAAGGAGCACACAGTCCACCTGATGGTAAGTGGTTGCTGTGGCCCATAGACATCTACATCTATCCTCGATTACGAATCAAAATGCAGATGCGTTGTCACCCGTGAGGACAAAGATGCAGCCTCGCTTTCAGTAAAAAGGGTCTCGCTTCTCTACACTCCCATACGAAACACAACAACGTTAAGCTGGTATTCTGTGAGAGCGTGGTCCTGTGGTGGTACGAATGGGTCGAGCCGACCCATTCGTACCTCAACTATACCAGTAATATAGCTGCAGCATTGCTCTACCACGTATGTTTATATGATGACCATATTTAATAGTGCCCGCTAGGATTAACCGCTAAAAAGAACCCCTTTGTTGTATCTCCTTGCCTCAGGTCACTTGCAAGAGAAGGCCAAATTGGCCTCTAAAAAGCTTGGCGTGCTCAGCAGAACGGGACTGTATTTCATGCCGGCACACCGCTTGCAACTTTACAAGGCGCAGGTTCGGCCTCACATTGAATACTGTTCCCATCTCTAGGCAGGGGCTCCGCAGTGCTAGCTCCTTCCACTTGACCGCATCCAGCGCAGAGCGGTCCGAATCGTCGTCGATCGAGTTGTTTCCGATCGGCGTGACTCACTAGCACTACGTAGAGATGTTGCATCTCTTAGCGTATTTTACCGCATCTATCATGGGGAGTGCTCTGAGGAATTGTTCGGACTAATTCCAGCCGCTCAATTTCACCACCGCACATCGCGGTAAAACTCGCGATACCATCCATACCATCAGGATGATTGGCGATCCGCCACTTTTCGATTTAGAAAATTTCTTCCTCGCACAACTTACTTGTGGAATCGATTATCACCAGCAATTTTTCCGGACCGATACGGCTTAGGGACCTTCAAGAAAAGAGCCTACTCCTTTTTTAAAGGCTGGCAAAGCATCTGCAATTCCCCTGGTGTTGCAGTTGTTCATGGGTGGCGGTAGTCACTTACCATCAGGTGAGCAGCATGCTCGTTTGCCCCCTGTCCTGTAAAAAAAAGTGATTAGTAACTAAGAAGTGATATTTGTCATGTTTTCAGGTGAACTCATAACTTTCAACACTGGGAAACAGGCACTCTTGTACAATGGTTATCTCTACTACCGTCATTACAAAGCGCGCACTATGGTTCGCTGGTCATGCACTACTACTAAGTGCAGAGCTTACCTTTACGTTAGCGAAGATTTGAAGATTCAACGTGTATTTCACGAACACTTCCACGGCCCAAGGAAGTTACATAAAACATCTAATGGTCTATATTTCAAAATTTAGAATGACTTGTGTCTGTGTGTTTGTAATTTTATACGACAGTTAATGTAAATACATAGATTGTTAAACAGTATTTTTTGTTTATTCATTATCTACTGTTTTACCAGGCAAACACTAAAAAGTACATAAAGCCGTTATTCCTTCCCCTAATCGACGGTGGGGTCGGATTGCCATCGGACTAGAGTTCACATATGCTTTGAAGAACGCTATTATCCGTTGAAACTGGCCGCCGAATTCGGTCTAGAGGATATTAAATACTAAATAGCTCTAAACAGATAGTGTAAAGAACGCGTAGGTTTATTAATATAATTATTATATTTATTATTAATTTATTTACATTTAATTACAACAGAGAATGTACCTTAGTCCTACCTACCTAATACATATGACAATGCATCTCCAATTTGATTATTAATCGGGGATTTATTTGGATATTTATGGACCACAATATCGATTTACCACTAGGAAGACTGCGAGCTATCATTACATCATAATATATTTATGTTGACAAATTTAATCCAAATGCGTTTAGTGGTATATGCGGGATTAACTAAGAACAATAAATACATCTTTAGCGTATAGTGGTGGTGTGAGAATATTTACTGTCCCATATCGTCCCGAAAGCAACAGACAAAAAACAAACCAGGTGATGGGCAGCAGCATTTTCCTAATAACTACTAGAAAATAAAAAACCTATGGTTGCCAAATCGCCAGCCAGCCGTGGCGACTATAGCAAATATTCCTCGTACGAGGCAATCTAAAGGGGAGGCCTATATTCAGATACACCTTTACAAAATGTTAGATGTTCAATATTAGAATCGTTAAGAACAGTTCCATATCGATTGTAATGTTGCAGCGGAATTCATAAAAACCAAAACTGGGAGGGAGTTACTGAAGTACAAAGGGTATTATTACTCGAAGACATCGCTCACGAGAAGGAGATGGCGCTGTGTTCACACAAACTTCTGCTACGTGTCCATATTGGTCAACCCGGACTTCAGTGTGGTGAAGGAACCAAGTGTACACGTACATCCACCTAAGGCTCCGTCCTGTGTAAGAAGTGACATCCTACCCCCCAATAGTATTAAATTGCAAATATTAGAAACTTATCATGTGCCAAATTACTGATTCTGTAGAATTTGAATGTACTGCCATCGTTGTGTGATCAATTATAAAAGCTGCGTCAGTCAAGATTTTTTACTTTTTTTTTGTTAATATATCAGCGAATTATTGCCGGGTATAAATAGTTGTGAATGATCATTATCGGTAATTATTATTATATATTTCAGTGCATATTTTTGTAATTTTAATAAATCGACTTAGAGGTATAATAATTATGAATTGGAATTTCGCAATAATTACCATATTTTGTCAACTCTGGTATCAAAATGAACTGACATTGTTATTTTCATAGATATAGTATATAAATCTATGGTTATTTGACAAATTATTCTAATCAATTTCGTTCGCATAATAACAAATTTTTTTTTAAAAATTATTTTCAATCAACATCACGATCACGGTAATGCATTGTTCATACAGTTTTTTATAGTAGTCTTATGATAACAAAAACATTTTTTGTTCTATCTACCTTTCATCGTCACAAGGGTGTTATACGAGCTGTTCTTCATTGTCAAAATAATTTAAAAACTCCAAACTCTGTAAGCTCTTGATGGAGCATGCTCATGTCTCACGTCTAAAGTACTGGCAGAGACGTGTAATAATTTCATGCCGCTCTAAAAGACCCGCGAATAGAAACAGAATCAGAAACTTTTTTATTCAATATAGATTATAAATAATACTTATTGAAAGTCACTCTTTTGTATGATTACCACTGGTTCGAAAAAAAAACCTCTGCCCTGGGAAGAACCAGCAAGAAACCCAGCGGGACTTTTTTTTTTTAAATAACAGCTTACAATCATGTATGTTACACAAATTAACAACACCATAAATTAGAAATAGCTTGGTAGAGATCATCTCATTTCCAGGGGTTATTATCATCTATAAATTCATTAATATTATAATAACCCTTTTTATACAAACTTAGTTTAGTAAAGTTTTTGAACTTTGAGTAGGTCAAATTTTGTATATTTTCTGGAATTTTGTTGTAAAAGCGTATACATCGCCCCAAGAATGAATTACTGACTCGATGGAGTCAAATAACTGGTACTACTAGCTTGTGTCTGTTCCTAGTATTTACAGAATGAATATCAGTTATTTTTGTAAAACTACTTTTATTTTTGTGTACGTACATTACATTTTGATAAATGTGTTGAGAGGCCAAAGTTAATTAATATATTAATTTCCTTAAATTTTTGTCGCAGCGACTCTTTAGGCTTTAAATCATAAATTGCTCTTATGGCCCTCTTCTGTAAAACAAATATAATTTCAGTGTCAGCTGCGTGTCCCCATAGCAAAATACCATACGACATTATGCTATGGAAATAGCTAAAGTAAACTAGTCTAGCTGTTTCAACACTGGTTAGACTTCTAATCTTTTTTACGGCATATGCTGCAGAACTAAGTCTGCTTGCTAGTTTTGATATATGGGGGCTCCATTGAAGCTTCGCGTCTAGTGTGATTCCAAGAAAAATGGTGGTATCTACAAGACTAAGTTTCTCCCCATTTAAAATTACATTAGTATTTAACTGTTTGACATTTGGAGTCATAAATTTCATATATTTCGTTTTAGTGCCATTTAAATGCAAATTATTAACATTGAACCAATTTACTAATTTAGATATAGCATTATTTACTTCGTCATATTTTAGCAATTGTCGATAAATAAAGCGCAGTAACCTAAATTAGTTACGTATCATCATCATCATCATTACAGCCCTTCACAAGTCCACTGCTGAACATAGGCCTCCTCCAAGTAATGCCACAAAGCACGGTCCTGAGCCAACTGCATCCATCGACTTCCTGCATATCTTACCAGGTCGTCACTCCATCTAGTGGGGGGACGCCCTACACTTCACCTGCCGGTACGAGGCTGCCACTCGAGAACCTTTTTTCCCCATCGGTTGTCGGTTCTTCGAGCTATATGGCCGGCCCATTGCCACTTCACCTTACTAATCCGTTGGGCTATGTTGGTCACTCTGGTTCTACTGTGAATATCCTCATTTCTAAGTTTATCACGCAGAGAAACTCCGAGCATAGCTCTCTCCATAGCTCGCTGAGCGACCTTGAGCTTCCTTATCCGGCCAGCAGTGAAGGGCCACGTCTCAGTTCCATATGTCATCACTGGCAACACGCACTGGTTGTACAGTCTCGTTTTCAAGTTTTGAGGTATACCTGACGAGAAGATGTGCCGTAATTTCCCGAACGTATATCCGTAACGATTTCGACTGCATTGCAACGTATTGAAACCACTGCTTTAAAAAAATGCTATTTGTTAACTTTATTTGTTGAGTTCGCGAGTGTTCGCGAGTCCTCATTCGTGCCGGCACCAATAAATAGTTACATAATTGTATTTTTTATTAATTTTCGACGTCCTCGGTAGTTCTGAAAATTTGGTGTGGATGTGCAGTGTGTGTCTAAGAAATAAAAAAGGAGACATGAAGTCAGTGCGCATGCGTCGAGGCAGCGCGGCGGTGTCCGCTTATAAATATCAGGTATTGACGACTAAATATAAGTTTGCTTATGGGTGTGTGCCTGTGTGTACCACCAACATTTTCTATTAATTTTTATTAATCTAATATTACAATAAATACACACTTGACGCTTCTGGAACTCTGTGACGGATCGCTCCAGGCTCTTTTGTTTTCGCCCTAACCATAGGCCGTTTGGTTTCCTTTGCCGAGAACTTTCGTCTGGTCGGATTTAATTTTTAATTTATCTTCTATATAGGATATTAAGTGCATTTAATATGATCAACAGAATCAGGCGTTAATTTGCGGAAATCCGTTATATTCAAGATGTTAAAAAGTCATTAGCCATGATCCCATACTACTACGCTAATACTAGTGTGTACTGGCGGTCAACCACCGCAGTCTATTTCACCTGAGGGTGCCTCTTCTAGAGGCGAAACACGTGTATTATCGACGGTGGTGTATCTTTCCTAGTGTAGTTATGTTGGGAGTAGTGGTGCTGGGATTACTGGTGACGGAGATAGTGCACGCAATTGAGGGAGGGTGGGAGGTGCTCTTTAAACTAGGTAAGACACATTATTTTATAGTGTCGCCGAACTTGCTAATTATTTTTTATCATATTTAATATTCTATATATTTATTTTATAGTAATTTATTTAAATTTATCAAATTTTATCTATTTGTATGTATATAATTTGTAATAATATATTCCAATAAGACAAGAATACCATAAAATATCGCATAGTAATAATAACAAATTACTTATACTATCTTTACAACTGGTAATATTAAATTCCAACAGTGGCAGAGCCACGCGGCAGCTTTTGCTGTCGCACGCATGGGCCGGCTCGAACCGGGGTGGTACCACGACCTCACAGAATACCAGCGTGAAATAGAGGTTTACCTCTGCGTTTCGCTTGGTGAGTGCAGGTGGCCGGAGGTCCTTTTTACTAGAAATGAGGCATTCCATCTTAGTCCTCACGGGTGGCAACGCATCTGCATTTTGATTCGCAAACGAGGATAGATGTAGATGTCTATGGGCCGCAGCAACCACTTACCATCAGGTGGACTGTGTGCTCGTTTGTCACCCTTATCCTATAAAAAAAAAGTTAACAATATTGTCATAAATAGATTACAGCTTTGCGAGAGACTGGTGTCTGATATAGTTTAAAAAAACCTATGTTACAGGTCGCATGGAATATTAGCTGTTGTAAGCTTTTTGTTAAAAGTTCATGCTGTGTCTGCTTTAAGATATTTATCTCTATACTTAGGTAATACGTTGTTTGATTTGTGTTGTTAATGTGATTGTTTGTAAACTTAATAAATAAAAAGTTGCAATACACCCCTAAAGCTTTTTTAAGACTGTTAGCTTCTTCATCATCATCATCACTCAGTAAAAAGTCACAGCTGGTC